TATATAAATATATATGTATGTATATTTATATATGTATCTATATGTATACATACATACATACACATGTACCTACATACAACAAGTATAAATATACGTTTGTATATATATATTTTTTCTATTCCCTTTTTTTCTGAGGTATATTTGTAATTGCTAATATCTAACTTATTTTTTGTTTTATTGATGTTTGATGTTGAAAGGGAGAATTTTTTGCCTGTTGCAAACAGTCAAGGTTACTGTAATACATCAAAATATATTTTGCAGATGACCCATCATTTTGGTCAAGTTTGATGACTCAGCAGTTAACTGAAGCCCGTGAGGAAGAGAAGCGAACAGAATGCTTTGCCCACTCACTTGGTCTTGCCCCAACCAAAACTAAGGAAAAATATGAGAATCAGCATGCTACTATTGGGGCAGTAGGAAAGGCCTCAAGTTCTGCATTAGACAGCCCTTTAAGTGCCAAAAATTATAATCAGTAACAGTCCCTTTGGCAGAGTGGGACAAATGCCTTTTACTGCTAAGGCCTTAGAAAAAAGGCCAATTTCAGCAGATATAATTAATAAAGGTCGAACTAAAAGTCCTGTGGGTTTTATAGATGGTAGGAGAGAAGTTACTTCTGTGAATTATGATGGTGTCCAGAGTAAGATAGAGAAGGATTTAAACTCAGTCTTTAATGATGGTGAGGATCCATCAGTATGGCGTTCACCGCGAGTAAATAAGGGAAATACTCACAAATATGAAGACTTCAGAGTTCCCTTGGCTCGGAGTAATGGATGCCCAGATTCTAGACAGAATTCTGTTTTGATAAACAAAAAAAGGAAGGTTGAAGGAGCAATATAAATTTTATACAGGATTTTACATTAAAGCTAATAAAGCATTTAAGAATGTTGAATATTCTTAGGTTCATAGAAATTATTTTAAAAAGTGATTTTCATACTTTATGCTGTGTTCATCCAAAACATTAGACTCGGTGTTTGGCTGTGGTATGCAATGATGAGCTCTAACAATAGAAGAAAAAAGAAATCATGCTCTCAGGTATATTGTGCTGATTCCTAAGTACATGTGTTTTAATAAATTAGTTTTCAAACAAAATTTTGTGACTTCGTATGAATTTAACAATGTATAAAGCATATTTTACATTCGCTTATCTATTTTAACTGACGTACCCTGTTATTGACTGATATTTTTTATTTGCACTCTTTAGGGAATACCAGGTAATAGTACAAAGGATATTCATTTAAGAAAACCCCATATCAAAAACCTCCTCTTCAGTACCATTGTTTTCAATATTTTGTAATTTGCCGTAGTCTTCTTATTTTCTCTCTCCTTATGCCCAAACCTCAATCTTTCTAAACTCTTTTTATATCCATTCCTTCTAAAAGAAAAGAATGAATGCTAGATACACAACAGAATATGAGTTGCTACTATAAAATATTAATTCTTGAAAATAATCTTCCTTGTTTTCAGTTACTTTCTAGTCATTGAGAAATACACTAATATTTTCAGTCTTTTCTTGGGATTTATATGTTTTAATGGATGATTAACTAATGTTAATGGACATGATGCTGATACATTTATGTTATTTCTAAGTTGAATAAAAGGAGGTTTTATACTGTGTTTTTATCAAAATAATCCAGATGTGCCAATTATTTAAGGGAAGAATCACCCCCACCAATCCCATACTCAGTGTTATTGGGGGGGGGGGGCGGGGTCTTAGGAGATGGAGACTAGTACTCACTACTTAAGATGACCCCTGCCTTAGGCTACAGTCCTCACTCGGCTAATTTTGAAGGGTCTTTTCCCCTTCCCCTTTTCGTTTCTTTTATCCAACCTCTTCTACCATCCACACTCTAAGGTGTGAGAGCCTGCTGAAAGGATGCAAGGCTGAACGGCTTGGGGGAGCCATGGGCGCAGTATTCCCGTTTAGAGTCTAGCCCTTACACCTCAAGCGGACCCTGAGGCTTTATCAACTAGCCCCACAGACTTAAATTCTCCCAATTCCCAGACCCCAGGATCTCTTTTGGCCACGACTCTGAACACTGCTAGTACTTACCCCCTCCTTAATGCCTACTATCAGCTACTTCCAGTCCAGATCATCCACCCAGGTAATACCTCAACCTCCAGAAAGCATTCCTCCTCTCTCAACATCCTCTAATTCATCTCCTTTATTCTCACAGCTTTCTTCATCTAATACCATTTCCTCCCTTATTAGTACTCTGCAACCTTATTTTCCACCACTTCCCAGTATTTCTCCCTCTTTCACACATCCTCATCCTTTAACTTGCACCACCTCTATAAACCTTTTGAGTACTCGGTCTAGTCCAGCCAAATGGGATCAATTTTTCCAGATTCCCTGTACAGCCCCTTACTCGGACAACTCTCTCCTCTTCCAGAAATGTCAAGTAGGCTAAGTTTCCTTCCGCAGCTACTCTGATTGTTGTTACAGTTATATCCTTTCCCCAAGCTCAAGCATCATCTACCTTGACTAAATTCATTGCTAAACCACACCCCTCCCTCAATCCTTGTTCCAAAACTGTCCTATTTCCCTGCAAAACTGTCCCTATTTCCCTGACAAACTGCTTTGTCTATGACCAGGATTGATCAGATTGTGGAGATTTACTCGCCTGCCTCGTGGACTTTGGCCCCCCCAATCCCTTGCCCGTTATTGTCGTTGGGCGGGGACTTAGGAGATGAAGACTGATACCCAATACAGGGCTCTCCCCTGCCTAGGGCCTCAGCCCTCGACTCAACTAATTTTGCATGGTCTTTTCCCCCTCCAGCCTTTTGCTTCCTTCCCTTCTCCAGCCCCTTCTACTATCTACTTCCTAAGGTGTAAGAGCCGTGCTGAAAGGATGAAAAGCTGACCTTGTGCCAGTCCTGAACTTTCTGCAGGAACCATGGTCACGGTACTCCCGATTTAACTGTCTAGCCCTTACCCTCCAAGACGCATGGGGGTGGGACCCGTTTATGCCGTTTTATATAATCATTGTTCCCCATGACCAGTAATGATGTAATCCCCTTATTAGGGGCAATGAGGCTTGCCCCTTTATCAAATAGCCGCAACCCAGGCTCTCCTTTGACCACGACTCCGAACACTGAAACTACTACCCGCTTCTCAATGCCTACTTGTGCATTACCCACCCAAGCAGAGACTCAATCTCCAGAAGATATTCCTAGACCCTCGAGCCGCAACTTCGCTCAGATTCATCAACTCTACCCCCACAACCTTCATCAAGCACCCAATCCTCCCTTATTACTACCGTACAGCCTTATTCTCCATCACTCCCTAATACTCCCCTTCCATACTCCCGCGACCTTCGCACCACCACCAACCCAACAAATCCTTAAATACTCTGTTTAGGACCGCAGCTAAATGGGACCGATTTTTCGTGATCCCTTCTACAGAGCTTCTTACTGAAAGCAACACTTCTCTTTCAACAATGCCTCCAAAAACAAGTGGGCAGAGTCCCTTTCTGTACCAGACGCGATCGCTCCCGTCTTGTAAGTCAGATCAGAAACTGAATCTATAGCACTATCAAATTTAACTGATCATTCTGGCAACCCCATTCCTGCAGAACCTCATCCAACACTTAATACTTGTACCGGAACTGTCTCTCCACAGCAAACTGCCCAGTCGATACCAAAGACTGGTCAGACTGTGGAGAAGACTTATTAGGATGCCTTAAAGACCAAGATGTGAAAATAGTACATTGCTACACCATTCCTTCTAAGAGGTCAAGA